GAAGCGAAGATCAGCCCATTGTCATTGAAAGTACTGTAATGGGATTGGACCGGTTGGTTTGCTTACATAGAATACAAAATCCTGATTACTTTTCTCCTTTGAAAATCAGTAATTGGTTTTTATTATTATTTTTTTTGGAAATACATATTTTTCTTGTTTTCCGTCTTAGTTTCTCCCGCTCGAATTTGAATTGGCCCGGACCTTTCCTGGAAGGGAATTACATTGTAGTGGAATCGGGGCGCGTTAAGGTAAATTAATCCAACCCACTGCGCCCTGTGCCCGTTACCCATTTCCCATACATGCCCATACTTAGCAGTTATGACATTCGTCCGATAAAGGTTGATGTGTCACAGAATGCATTTTTCCATGGCCTAAAGGTAAAAATGCTGTACCGCAACTTTTTGGAAGAAATGCTTTGATATTAAATGAATAATTGCTCAATTAGCAAGTGTTTAGCTTCGTAGAAAATATCTGGCTGTCAGTGCTCGCGGGGAGAATTTAAATCCGTTCGATAAAGGTTAATCCATGGAAGTACTAATTACTGACTTAGATCAATTCCAACCCTACATGGCAAATATGTTTCTGCTTCAAACATCAACCGTTTTATACTTGGATCCAATGACTGGAATCTCCCACGAATAAAACAAGATTGATTTCTTGACCAACGTGGTGAATCTTTCCGTTCTCTGAATGAGGCTGACAGAGGAATGGTAAATTCAGAATTAATGCAGCAGAAATTTATAGGATGAGACAAAAGGTTAGCTGCTGAACTTTATGTGAAGATTATCTCTCCTGTAACCGGAACCTCGGGAGGAGGAGTAGATGTTCAGAGGAGCTCTCTTCCATTTAGGATAGAGAAGGTGTTATACTTGCGGGGCTGGGATTCTACTCTTCCGCTAATCCCGTGCACTGCTGCAATAAAAAGCTTAACTTCAGCATTTAATGATTCCTGGAGTCATATATTATTAAAAATACATAATAATTGCATGCTTTCCATATATATATTCATGGATTGCATAATAAAAAGTAGAAGGATGGATGCAGGGAACAAGTGAGTTCCATCTAGTGAGGAATCTTGGTAATGCAACTGCAGGATGGTCAGCTAAAGTTTCATGTGGGTGGTTTGGCGTTAATTTTGCATAAACTTGATGTCATGTACTTCACGTCAGATGGAATGACGTCTAGTTTATGTAAAATACACGTACACTTTGGCGACGTAAACAGAGGAACGTAAATTTTACGTAAACATTTTCACGGTTATCGCAATAAATTGATATCTTGTTTACGTTAAACATGCTGCTTGGGTTATTTCACAATTGAGTATTTGTGAACGAGGTTTTGAATTATAGACAAAAAGAAAAGACATAGTGAATATAATTTTTCTCAGCTTCATTATCTCCTGTGCTCTCTTCAGCTTCTGACGAAGGATTTCTACCATCTAAGCAATGAGCATTCACTCCGGTACGACGGTTTATATCATTTATGTCCATGCTCAAGAGATGAGGACACCCTAACCGATGTAGTCCAGGAGGGCTAAAATCTTGCAGCATGTGATGACGTCAGCGAAACGTTCCTCTATAAAAGCGGACGCTTTACATCGCTTGTAGAGCAGAGTTGACAATCGATGGCGATGTAGTGAGATTGTCGACTCTCAAGCGTCCGCTTATTATATATATCATCACCATTATGACGTCATCACATGCTGCACGATTATTAGCTCCCACTGGAAGGAACACTAGACGGTCTAAGCCTGAAGCATTTCTGCGCGCGTCGTTCGTCTCACACCTTCGCTTCGTATGAGCCCTTAGGTTCAATATATTTTCAACCGGCGGTTGGCCTACTGAGTAGAGCGTCCGCGTGCTGTCCGGGAGGCCAGGGTTCGGTCCTGGCCGCCGCCTCACCCAGGCTTTAATTGGGTACACACCGACTTTCAACGCCTGGCGCTCGGCAGTACGACGAAAGTGGTGTGGGACCTTCCCCCTATCCCGACAAGGGGTAGGGAGAAGGTTTTGGACCCATCGCCGAGGAACTTTGCGAACCTAAATCAAGAAGCGATTACACCGTGAGCATCTTACTGTTACAGCTCAAAGCTAGACGTTAAATCTGAAGATCCTATCAAGCCTTTATACAGGCGATGATTAATAAAATTAGATAATTACTAATTCACAACGGACAAAACAATATAAAATAGAGAGAACAAGAAAATCAAATAAAAATCATAAAGCAAGGATTATTCCAATCACCACAGTGATTATTCCAACAAATCTTTTGCTTGCCCTAGAGAGGGACCTCAACCAACAGCAAGATTGAACTGCCATTGCAAAGGGCATGTCTTCTAAATAAATAAAAGTCTCTTTTCTTCGATGAGAAAATGTATAAGCCAGAACGACGTACGTATTTGCTGTTTCTCCGCTTGCAGTAGTTCTCTCTATGGGCTTTTATGCAATGCCGTTTTGAATTTCATGTACTGTACTGTATGTATGGCAACAAGGCGGACGTGGAACTCGTCTGGATAAGCCAGCATTCATCACGTCAATTTATGGTGCAATCGAAACACGATGTACGGTCATATTTTCGGATCAATAATATTGGGTGCATCCCATTATAATCACCATCATCCCCCCTCCCCTCAAATTTCCCAGTGCGCTAAGTTTCAGGGGGTTCCGTCCAATGATATTGAAATGAGACTCACTGTACGACCCAGATACCACGTATCAGAGATTCCCCTATCAGGAAATTTCTGTCTTAGCATTTCTAGGGGCCACAACGTTCACATTTTCCGGTCGGGTGAGAACGAAAACGCAGAAATGAGTTCTGAAGCATATGGGCGTAAACGGGCTGAGGGTCGGCAATCGAGTTTCGGCGAAGAGGAAATAAAAAAAAAGGCTTTTTTGCGAAAGCAAGGGGGAAATGGTAGGCTATCATAGAGATCAATAGGAGATAAGGATAATTTGATAAGTTCTGTCGTTAGAGGCAGTGGCCGACAGGTGCACCCGTCGGCCCACCGCTTCCTTCCTTCCCCCCCACTCTTTCGTTCCAACCCAGAGCTCAGCACTCGTTCCTCCTTCTTTAGGGGAATAGGAACGTGGAACCCCCCCCCCCCCCCCCCCCCCCCCCCCCCCCCCCCCCGCCCCCCCCC